AAAAATGCATTTAAAAATAAACAGAAACCAATTAAATTGTCATCTTCTTGATTTAGGATGTAACCAATTAAGCATTTCGTACATATTGCAGTGATGAGTATGATATGGACACCTTAACACAAATCTACATAAAGAGTTGTAAACCACATTAAGAGGCTTCAGATAAGTGTCACGAATCCGGTCCATGAACTTCCATCCACTTGCCACCAGAGGTCGCCTTCCCATGATATTGACTCTCACACCACACAGACTGTTACACATCACCCTGGACTACATTTCCCATGCTCCATTGCACTAATCACAAGCTCACCTGAAACCAATCACACACAGCTGCTACCAATAACACACACTATATAAATCAGTCTCACGCCACCATTCAACGCCGAGTACTGTTTGCTTTTATCGCTCTCCTAGTGGTAGCACATTACGGAGCCAGTTTCCTGCCCTAGTTTCTAGTCCTTAGTTCTAGTCAAAGTCTTGTCTTGCCTGCTTTCCCGTGTTACCTGATTATTGCCCGTTTATCTTGGATTAACCCTTTGCCTGCTGTTTCGGACTGTGTTTGCATGCACCTCGCCTGGACTACTGCTCATGTTATTGGATTTCCCCTCTTGTCAAGCCCTCTGGATAACGTTCGCTGTCGACTGACTCACGCCCGGTTTGGATTACTCTTTTGTCTTGCCCTCAATATACCTGTTTGCCATTGTCAGAACCTTGCCTGTTTTTATGACCATGCCTTTAAATAAAAGCTTTGCAGATGGATCCGCACGTCTCACGTCTCATTCGCCCCGTAACAATAAGTATCAGAGGTATCTTGATATATGATATCAGCATAATCAATAAAAGGTAAAATTACCTGAGAAATAATAATTTTCCTAACTTGACATGTAAAACAATTAATGGAGCGATAAAGTAAATGCAAACAACTGTATGTTCTATTAACAATATAATCAATATGGGGCTTAAAAGTAAGTTCAGGGTCAATCCAAAGGCCAAGATATTTAAATGAATCAACAGTCTCAAGAAGTAAACCATCATCAAAAGTAATATTCAAATCAAAAGGAAAAGAACGACACCATCACGTGCCAAATAACATACAACAAGACTTCTTCTTATTCAGTATAAGCATATTGTATACAAATTATTGTAACAAATCAGAATTAGTGGTGTAAATAACAGTGTCATCAGCATAAAGATCTACAGAGTAATTTAAGCATATTTGAGATAAATCATTAATAAAAATACAAAAAAAGTAGAGGACCCACAATAGAACCTTGAGGAACACCTTTTTCAACAATCGAATAATCAGACTGAAAACCTTGGAATACAACATACTGACACCTGTTTTGCAGATAAGCATTAAACTAAAGAAGAGCATTTCTAGTTAAACCAATGGAAGAGAATTTATGGAGAAGGTAATGATTGACCATATCAAAAGCCTTTGAAAGATCGATGAAAATGGCACCTGTGGCTTGGCCTTTGTCAAAGGATGAGAACACATCATTTGTGAATTTTAAAAGGGCAGTAGTAGTAGAAAACTTGGGTCTGAAACCAGACTGAAATGGTGATAGAATATCTGATTAAAAATAAGTTTCTCAAAAACAAATACAAGAACAAATAATAGAAATTGGACGACAATTGTTCACATTGGATGAGTCTCCACCTTTGAAGAGAGGAATAACTCTTGCACATTTCCATATAGAAGGAACAGAACAAGTTGACAAAGACAAATGAAAATATAGCTGCAAGCAGCAATTAAAGGGCCAAGCACGAAGAAGAAGACAAGATTAGACAACTTGGCTCGGAGTGTAAGATCAAGTGCATTAATGAACGATTGAAATCATATTATTATAAGATGATTTTAAGTAGAATGCAGCAAACTTGAAAATAAATAAGTGGTGATTTGAATGGTTTGTCACTTTTGACCAATATATGGTATTAGTTACAAAAATTATGTGGTGTGGTTAACAACATGTGCAAAGTTTGGTGTCAATATGTCAGAGAATTGCACAAACTAGTGCAGCAGACATAGGAATAACACAGTAGAGATGGAGTGTAACACTAATATAAGAAAAACAGAAAATAAATAATGCACTATGTACAGAACTAGAAATATAGAGAAACGTGTTTAAATGAATGTAAATAAATAAATATATATATATATATAATGTATATATATATGTACAAGTGTGCAGTTTACAAATGTACAATTTTTGGATTCTATGTATAAAGTCAAGATAATTTTTTGAAGCATTTTCATTGTAGCCTATTATTTCTGAACATATAATATGTATAAGACAAGTTTGTACAAGATGTAGTTGTAGTTCATGGGATTTGTTGAACATTTACATCATGTTGACAGCTTCATGTGTGCTGCACTCGGAATAGAGTTTTCTTTAACCTGAGGGTTAATAAAGAAAAAGTTACTTGAATCATGTTGTAGTTACATTAAGTTGACTAGTTAAAAATAGTAAAAAATCAAGAATCAGGCAAACGTTCTGAAACAATTTAGATTTCTTTTTTGCCAAACGCCCAGCCCTAATATCAAGTATTGCAATTGTATGTTTGTGTTGCATTGTTTTTGATAAAATTATTTTTATTAAAAGTTCTTGACTTTTTATTAATTGTATCTCTTATTTTTAAAGGTGTCTGTGAAGGTGAAGGTGTTGCAGTTACTTTCCCAGAAGCAAACTGTGACTGACACAGACAACTTCTACAGTTACGGACCACACTAGAACAATGAGCTTAACCGTGTGGGGTGACAGTTCTGTGCTAATAGGTAACTGCTATGAGTTTAAAAAAACTTTTTGTACGGTTGTTCAAACAAACACCTTGTTTGAGCACAACTGTCCACACTACCTGTTCACTTATTGATGACTGTGGTAGTTTTGCAGAAGTAGAGGAAGGTGAAAGAGAAAGTATTGTGGATAAAGACGTCAGAGTTGAGTACTTGTGTCCACAGTCGCACACTTTGGAGTTTGAAACCCTGAAACAAACATGACTCGCTTATTGTAAAACTTCCAAAGTAGCATCACTGTTACGTGGACACATCACAAGAAAATTCACATGCAGCATGACATATTCTGCAGGCTATTGAGTTAGCAAACACGTGGTAGATATGAGTCTAATGCATTGATTTCCAAAATACTGAGTCATGAAAAACTGCAGATTGGCGTGTGTGGTGAAGTTCTCGTGAATGTACAGTTTCTACAGTAGATGGTGCTGCAGAACGGTCAGTGTGTGAGGCCAGAAGCTGTCTGATGTCCACATCGACAAGCACAGTATGCCTTGTACTTCTTGTGCTACTGATCAGAACGAGTGTAGAATCTGTCCCAGATATTTGTGATGACGTAGCCTAGGATTTGGAATAATTTGAGCATTAGAATGGATACAGTATTTCCTTTTTAATTTTTTGGAATGTTTATCATAAGGTGACGTTGTGTCAGTTGTAATAAATATTTTGCACTAATATATGTTTTCTGCCACAGATGTATAGACTTGATTGTGTCTGCTGTACTTTATAGCAGTGATTTTTTTTTTTCAAATACTCACTACATTACTAGAGATAGTTTAATTTAGAAAATAACACAAAAAGTGGGATTTTTTGTTGTTGCGTGTGTGTATATACTGTATATGAACAGTAGATAGGTTACCATGAGATATGATCCAAATCAGAGCACAGTTGTTTTTCTGGCACTCCATCTAGACTATAAAAATAAAAGAAATTAACTAAATCAAATAAAAAATAATAATTAATGCATAAACTTAGGTTGTAAACAAATATTTGTTTACTGAAACACATCAGCAATAGTGTAAACAAAGATTAAAGCAATATTACACACAAGAACTTCTATGATTTTCTCATGAAGTTTATGTTTCGACACATTTAACCTGGTCTCTGTATGCAGTTTAATTTGAGAGAGAATAAATCATTTTGGCCTGTTCGTCATACAGTGATCATATGGCTTCAGAGAACAACCCTTTTAGGTGTTTTTAAGCTTTAATCTGAGTCACTGGAGATGTTCCTGTACATATTGGGCACTGGGCCTCAGGCGACTACACATTAAAGACAAGAAAGAAATGATAACTGACAATGTTCAATTTAGCTTTTGCTCGTGTACCTCCTGATGTTCAACAATACGCCGCTTTCACGCAGCCGCCATGTTGAAATCGAAAGTGAGGCTCCGGTGGGAAGAAACCCGGAAGTAAAGGTAAACAACAACGGCTTGGACTACCAACCTAGAGCTGCTACCGCGATGTAATATATTAGATGTCCAATCGCACAAGCTGTTTTGTTAAAGGGATACAGCAACTGGATCGAGGGCTACGTCACCGATATTGAAGGTCGGGTTAACGTCAAATGGGAATCACAGGGATGACCTGGTGTGACTTTTTGGTCAAATCCAGAAATGACTTCCATCTAGAGCGCATTGATTTTGATGAAGAGAAGTGGGAGTTTGTAAAAACTCAATTAGACTTGGGGTTTTTTTCCAACTACTGGCTGCCCAACCTGTGCTTAGTGAGTAACACACACACACACACACACACACACACACACACACACACAAACACACTTAACAGACAGTCAATAAGTATTAGAACTACTAATTTCTACATTAAAAACAAATATTGTCATTGCTATTTATAATAGGTTTTCACTGTATTGTATACATAAGTACGAAATAAAATTAAAACCAATGAAAGCTAATGGGTACAAAATATATCTTTTTTATTTCAGTAATTCAATCCATTGTATATTTATCTTTCTATTGTTCAAATTACAACAATAAACCAAAGTAGCGACATTTAAATGACTAATTTCTGTACATTTTGTTTTTTTAACTGTAAGCTAAAATGTAGGTTTGCGGAGTAAATTAATAGTTTACCAAAAGGAAAACTGTTGAAAATGTACTTACTCTCAGGCCACCCAAGATACTGAGCAAATGGTGTAATGCTAAATTCCTCCAAATCTGTTCCAATGAAGAAATAAACTCACATCATGGATGGCCTGAGGGTGAGCACATTTTCATTTCTGAGTGAGCTACTTATTTAAAATAGAGGTCCTTGGAAATGTGTCAATAGAGCACAAACAGTCCTCATCTGGTTGACCTTTATTAAGTCTTTGCATTTGAGTCCATCTCACCAGAGACTGTGCTGTAGGTCGAAGAGACTGGTAGAGTGCTTTGAGGGTTTCATAATCTTTAAATCCGGTGTAAAACATGATTGGCTTGGGCTCACACTGGAATCTTTCTAGACAAAACTGCCGACTTCTTACATTTTCATTTTCTTTTGTCAGACGAGCAATCTCCTTTTGTGCTTCTCTTCCGTGGAAGGAGATGTGTCCAGGTGATCACGGTCTCGCAGTGCCCCAAAACCACTGTTAGATCTGTTTCAGGATAGAAGAGACAGAACAAAAATAAGTATCACGGATGTCATTGTGTAGGTTTACACAAATTACCATCAATCTGAATAAATCCAATCCGATTTCAGATTCTGAAAGAACCCTACATTTGTATCTGGTTCACAGAGATCTTAGTAAACATTCATCCCAGCACTGTGCATGTGTGCAAGGTATTTGAGCCATCAATCCCATTACTAACTCATTATTATTTGGGTGCATGTAAATGTAGCAATTGAGTCATTATGCAGCAACGATCATGCCTATATAAGACATCTTTCACTCTGTTGGCATTAGATAGATGACTCACTGTTCTCCCGTATTCTGATCAGAAAATTAATGGTCCTCAAATGTTTCAATATCATTAACACTGGGTAGGAAAATCACAATTAATAAAGTTCCTTTTGTTCATATTGTACGCTTATGCACAGTTGTCACAGACAGATATTACAGAAATTCTGAAATTTAAAATGTATCAAATTTGCCGCCAATTGATGAAGATCTGACACTTCCAACAGTTTTATATGTCAAGTCTGAATAAACAGCATTCTGTCAATACTGTAAATGATACTATACAAATTGTGCATCTGTAGGAATTGACAGCAAACAAAATGAATTCATATCACTTTGATTAGGTTATGCAACATGACAAATTACATCAGGTAATATGATAAAACATTACAGTACTATCACATTTTTTTATTCAGCTCCACGTAAACAAAGTTGGCATGCTTCCATGTTTCAGTCTGTGTAAACCAGCGAGCAATCATACAATGCAGTCCGGGGTAAAATGTTTGGAGCATACTCTAGTGTTGTCTGGTTTGGAACGACACGAGGGTGAGTAATTCATGACAGCATTTTCATTTTTGGTGAACTAAGCCTTTAATATTAAATGATGATAAATGATTAAAAAGCACACCTGCAGCTTTGGAAAGAAGCCACCTTTCTTCCAAATCACTCATCCTTTGAGTAAAAATGTATGATTACCTAAACCTGACTCTTTACTATTGGGGGCTGTGGAAAATAGCTAATGTACTGTTGGCTAATCAAATCTATTCAGCAGTATCACCAGCTACAGACGGGTTTAGCTAACGTTACGTATTTAGATGGGAGAGCATGAGAAGAGAGATTAAGTTCACCTGTCACTGAGTTTAAGATGTTAAATTAGCTATCTTACCCAGTAAACGAGCTGTTGCTGGCCATTGCTGCTAGAAGCCCGCTCTTCTGTCAAACTGGTGGGAAAACGTAGTGGGCATGGTCAACCTGTCACTTCAACTCAAACTAGAGATCGCTAACACATAACAGTGATCCATGGATTTCAAACAGATAGAATAGACAGCACACACGCTTCATGCACAAACATCTCTTAAACATCTTTTCAAACAAATATTGATATCAAAGGTAAACCAGTTAATGTAGACAGATAGCCATCTCGAACTTGGTCGTGTGGGGAGAAATATTTTTATTTGGCAGCTCTATCAAGAAATTTAAACATGGTAAGCCCCAAAATCTAACAGATACTTCATGACTTTTAGATATTACCAATTACTATTAAATGATTGTGACTTTTTTGATACAAGTAGAATAACAAGCCCTCAAAAAAGGACATGGTAATGGAAAATATATGAGGTGGGAAGGAAATTCCATTTGAATGCTCATGCTTTGGCTCACACAGGTTTCTTAGGGAAACACAACACTTGTGTAACTAAACTAGTGTAGCATAGCAATTAATGAGCAAAACTAATATAGTTTTTCAACTTTCTCATTTTTTTCATATCCACATTCCTTTGAAGATTCGGCACACAACAAAAGTTTATCAAGTTTAATCAATGATTAAAACTCACTTCACCGTGACATCTTTGGATGAGGTTTACGTGCTCTCATTTACTGTTATTGGGTCTTGTTCAGTGGATCTTCAGACATACACTTTTCCTGTGAACAATTAAATCAGATAAATGAGTGAACCTCTTCCCACATGAAAGGCAGTCATATCGCTTCTCTCCAGTGTGGATCATCTCATGCATTTCCAGATATTCTGGCCGTTTGAATCTCGTCACAGTGTGAACACTTGTAAGGTTTTTCCTCAGTATGAACCGTCTGGTGCATTTTCAGTTCAGAATCTGAAAAAAAACCCCGTCTTTCCACACTCAGAGCAAATATGATCCTTCACACCGCTGTGTCTTTTCAGAGGTGTTTTGAAATTACCCATCTGTCTAAAACTCTTTGAACAATAAGAACATGTGCAAGTCCTCTCCTGCGTATGCACTTTTAGGAAATCTTCCCTAAAATATTTTTTACTGCACTGGTCACACTTATATACAGTCATGGCCAAAAGTTTTGGCAGTGTTTTGCAAAGTTTGCTGCTTAAGCTGTTGTGTTCATTCACATCGTTTCTAGATTATTGTGTAGAGTGATCAGATGCATTTTAAATAATTGCTAAAAGCTTCATTGGCCAAAAAAATGAACTTTTCACACAAAAAAACAAATGTCCCTGTTTTTTGATCCTGAAACAAAATGACCAGTTAACATTAACTGACTAATCATATCAGCAGCACATGTGAAAGAAAGTGTGAATGAGTACTAGTCAGGTAAAATCACTATCATACTAATTAGATTGTAGGAGCAGACTGATTGCTATAAAAGGAGGGAAGAAGCGCTTCCAATCATTGGGCCTCATTCATGAAACATTCGTAAATATAGGAGTAATTTCTGAGTAATTTGCGTGTAAAACGGTCCTTCTCAAAAACTCTCCTCTGGATTCACAAACGTTTCGTAACCATCAGATTTGATAGTTAAACACGTGTATGTTAATGACTTCCAATCATTCGTAAATAGGGCGCTCGTGTACACTCATTCACAATTAGCATAATCCCCGCCTATGAATTACAGCTATGGAAATTGCATGTCCAGGAACGCAGTGTAATATTCTGGTCTACTTGTGCAGGCTTGGCTCCAGTATATTGCATAAATGCAAAAAAGACTAATAAGCCATATGCCTAGCAATAAATATTCAATTAACGTGTCCATCAAAGCATTTTAGCCAGCTGAAAAATGTCAGGCGCTCTTCTGAAAACGGCCAGCTGGTGGCGGTTGAAAACGCTTTGGTGGCACAGCGTTTTCCCAGCCGAGACGCTTTGGTTGCTATGATTAGGAATATCCACGGCAGTAAAGTATTACTAGTATCTCATTTTGAAGAATATTACTGGATATAAAAATGCAGTAACCAGCAATATTAACTTCTCTATTGTTGTTCAGTTGTTGTACAAGTAGGATGATTGGTCGGTGTAGTAGGCTATTTGTCCCGCCCCTCCTCCATTGATTGGACGGCTGGGTAAAAAGTGACAAGCGCTGCGTTTTACCCAAAGCTAAAGTTGATCAACTCTCAGCTACAAAAAAATCAAAAACAGAGCAAACAAACTTGTAAAATATTATGATGGTAGTGCATCAAAATTCAGTGTCATCTGTTTGCCAAAAAGAACAGGAGGAGCAGGTGTACATTTCTTTCGTACCAACTAACATTTTGAAAATACAAACACTTTCATGAATCCGAAAATTTACGTCAGAACAGCTTTACCATCACTTTGCATCAAAATGGCCTCACATGCAAGGAAATTGCTACAAAGAATATTGTACCTGAAAGAACCATTTACCGGATCATCAAGAACTTCAAGGAGAGAGATTCGACTGCAGTGAGGAAGTCTTCAGGACGTCCCAGAGTGTCCAGCAAGCTCCAGGACCATCTCCTCCTGAGGAGTCAGCTACGGAACAGGACCGTCTCCTCCTCAGGAGTCAGCTACGGAACAGGACCGTCTCCTCCTCAGGAGTCGGCTACGGAACAGGACAGTCTCCTCCTGAGAAGTCGGCTACAGAACAGGACCGTCTCCTCCTCAGGAGTCGGCTACAGAACAGGACAGTCTCCTCCTGAGGAGTCGGCTACAGAACAGGACCGTCTCCTCCTGAGGAGTCGGCTACAGAACAGGACCGTCTCCTCCTGAGGAGTCGTCCTGCAAGAGCGACTTCTTCCAACGATCCATGAGCAATTTGGTGATGATCCGTGCATTTTCCAGCATGATGGAGCACCATGTCACAAAGCAAGAGTGATAAAGAAGCGGCTCGAAGATCATTACATTGAAATTTTGGATCTGTGGCCAGGCAACTCCCCGGATCTCAATCCCATAGAGAACCTGTGGTCAGTCCTCAAAAGGCGAGTGGACAAGCAGTCAGGATTTGGCCCAGAAGCTAATATCCAGCATGCCAGAGCGAATTGCAGAGGTTATGAAGAACAAGGGTCAACACTGTAAATATTGACTCATTATGTTTTTTTGCCAATAAAAGCCTTTAAAACTTCTGATATGCTTATTATTTTTCCACATATTTCTATAGTATACTGAAAAGCAAAACACAAAATTTGTCACTGCCAAAACTTTTGGCCATGACTGTAGTCTTTCTCCAGAAGGAGTATGCAGATGTTCTTTTAAAACCCTTGACTTTCTAAAACTCTTTCCACACTGTTCACATGTGAAGGGCTTCTCTCCAGTATGGATTTTCATGTGTTCATTAAGAGTTCCTTTAAGTCTGAAAATCTTACCGCACTGAAGAGAAGCCGTACACATGTGATCAGTGTATTTTCATGTGTTTTTTAAGGCGTTCTTTTTTTAAGAAACCCTTTCCGCACTGTTCACATGTGAAGGGTTTCTCTCCAGTGTGGATACTCATGTGTTTTTTAAGGTGTTCTTTCTGTATGAAACTCCTCCCGCACTGATCACATGAGTGGGGCTTCTCTCCAGTGTGGATTTTTATGTGATCATTATAATTTCCTTTATGTCTGAAACTCTTCCCGCACTGATCACATGAGAAGGGTTTCTCTCCAGTGTGGATTCTCATGTGTGTATTAAGGCTTCCTTTATGTCTGAATTTCCTCCCGCACTGATCACATGTGTACGGCATCGCTCCCGTGTGAATTTTCATGTGTTCATAGAGAAATCCTTTAAGTCTGAACTTCTTCCCGCACTGATCACACGTGTGTGGCTTCTCTTCTGTGTGGATCGTCTCATGTATTTCCAGATATTCTGGCCATGTGAATGTCTTGTCAGAGTGTGAACACTGGTTAGGTTTTTCTCCGGTGTGAACTGTCTGGTGCTTTTTCAGTGCATGAACTGTAAAAAACATCTTTCCACACTCAGAGCAAATATGATCCTTCACACCGCTGTGTCTTTTCAGATGTGTTTTTAAATTACCCATCTGTCTAAAGCTCTTTGCACACAAAGAACATATGTAAGGCCTCTCCTGTGTATGCACTGTCATGTGGTCCTTCAGGAAATCTGGCCTAAAAAATGTTTTACTGCACTGGTCACACTTATAAATTCTTTCTCTAGAATGAGTGAGCAGATGTACTTTGAAAACACTTGACTTTCTGAAACTCTTCCCGCACTCTTCACATGTGAAGGGCTTCTCTCCAGTGTGGATTTTCATGTGTTCATTAAGCTGTCCTTTTTGTATGAAACTCTTAGCACACTGTTCACATGCGTACTGCTTCTCTCCAGTGTGGATTTTCATGTGATCATTATAATTTCCTCTATGTCTGAAACTCTTCCCGCACTGATCACATGCGAAGGGTTTCTCTCCAGTGTGGATATTCATGTGTGTATTCAGGTTTCCTTTATATCTAAATTTCCTCCCACAGTGATCGCACGAGTGCGGCTTCTCTCCAGTGTGGATTCTCATGTGTTCATTAAGGAGGTGTTTTTGTCTGAACTTCTTTCCACACTGAGTGCATGCGTGCGGCTCTCCAGTGGTTATTCTCCAGGGCTTCTCTCCAGTGTGGATTTTCATGTGTTCATTAAGCTGTCCTTTTTGTATGAAACTCTTAGCACACTGTTCACATGTGTACTGCTTCTCCCCAGAGTGGATTTTCATGTGATCATTATAATTTCCTCTATGTCTGAAATTCTTCCCGCACTGATCACATGCGAAGGGTTTCTCTCCAGCGTGGATTCTCATGTGTGTATTAAGGTTTCCTTTATGTCTGAATTTCCTCCCGCACTGATCACACGCGTACGGCATCGCTCCCGTGTGGATTTTCATGTGTTCATTAAGGTTTCCTTTATTTCTGAACTTCTTCCCGCACTGATCACACGCGTGTGGCTTCTCGTCAGTGTGGATTTTACTGTGTTTGGCAAGGTTAACTTTTTGCGTGAAAGTCTTCTCGCACTGATCACATGCGTACGGCTCCATTCCACTGTGAAATTTCATGTGAAGATTAAGACTTTGTTCGCATGAGAAACTCTCTCCACACTGAGGGCAAGTGTCATGGTGTTTCTCCCCCGCTTCCATCAGTTCTTCAATCACCTTGTTCTCTTCCATCAGGCCTAAAATTAAAGTTAAAGAAGTGTGATTTTCATGTGAAAGGATAAGGATGTGAACCTTGATACATCAGCAGAAAGTATGATCATCATACACTGATCATTCCAATTATTATTTTTATAACATAACAGGCAAAAATGGCATGTTTTTGTAGTGAAAAATATTAAATATTTACATTTTATAAATCAGGGAGGTAAAATGTTCAAATGTTTAGCAACACTGTTGCAAAAACTGTAAACCAAATATTATCTTAGCGGTTTTATTTTACTTTTATTTATATTTATTCTGACATCCTGATGTTTGCAATGAGTATGAATGTTTTTAAAACCTCTTTTGTTGGAAACCAAAAGCAAAATTGAGCACTAGAGCCTATGTTTTTTTTTCCCCATTTAATTTAATTATTATTATTATTATTTTACCTTTATGTAGTGCTTACAATAAAATACTGCGTCAAAGCAGCTTTGTCTCGATGCAAAAAAACATTCAATTCTGCCGTGAAGCAGCTCTAGAAGTTTATATAATCATATTGTCTGGCTAGTTTATTTTTTATTACTTTATTTTTCATAAACATACCATACTTTCAACCAAACTGAATCATTAAAAACAAGTTTAAACGGGTAAATCTATTGTGTATTCTGCATTTTCTGTTGATATACTCCATTTAAACAGTAATAGATCCAAGATGGCCCAGTGAAGAAAATTTCACACTAGGAAATGAACAATAACACATGGGGGTGGGGGGTGAAGATATGGTATACAACTGTATATAATTAGCGTGCATCAGGAAGCCACTATCAATACGCAGGGTACTGAAATCGCTTTTGTATGGGAGCTCGCTTTTCACTTTCTGTGTATAGTGAGTGGTTTCCTCCAGTGAAAATGTAGCCTTTATACTTTATAAACGATCATGTTGCTATTTTCATTTGAAAATGTTATATTTAATATAAAACAACAAACCCAAACGATACCCAACCCTAAACAGCTGAAGACATTACTTGCTAATACTAGTCTTTACATTTTTTTACATGACGTCTTTCATTTTTGGAGTTTTGACATTGTTTGACACAGCTGTTAGTACGCCTTTAGTCACGGACCACTGGCTGAAATCTGACACATACGGCACACTTAACTGGAAACACTTCAGCAGTTTCGAAGTCGTCCTCTGATTGGTTGAAGTGTACAGGATTTCCGGGAGACGCATGTGTCGCGTTCTTTACCGGTCCACCTGGAAACAACCCAAAGCCGTCCGATCGAAGAAGAAAGCTTTGTGTTTACATCGGTGGCAACGAGCATCAATCAAGATCATGGCCGTAGCCAGGGTTTCAAAATTAATGAGGTCTGGGGGTTGTTAAGAATTGTGCAATAATAATGGCTAGTACTATTTTGATAACACAGTTTCGTACAGATAATATCCTAATGATCATTGCCTTTGTCTTACCGGATGTGGTCTCCTCAGCAATAAACTATCCGCGCGCGCAGGTTAAGTGCCGACGATGCAGTGTTGCCAGATATTGCTATGAAAAACAAGAAAAAGCATTCCCCGAAAAATGGACCAAAGTAAGTTCCAATCTTGTATTTTGCAAATAAGATACAGAATCGCTAAGCCCAACCTTCATCTTCCCACTTTATTAACGCCCTAATTACTTTATTAACGTAGTCACAGTAAGTATGAAAAAGTCCAATGACGCTTATAATAACTAGATCATGCAACATGGAGCGGAGCCCTTACGAGCTTGAGTCATCGACATGATTTTAAATAATTTTTCATTCAGAACTTAATTTTATTTTCGAACATGAAAAATGTATCTCATAGCTGGCTACGGGCTTGATCAAGATAGATTAAACGCTGGATTCGCTGGTTTCACGGTATGAACTGTTTAAAAGACATTTTAAAAATAAAAGATATTTCAACTTGTTTGCCGACTGGATATGGCAAGAGTCTTATTTCCCAAGCCTGGCTGATTTCCTCTGCGTTATGCTAACAGATCCTTCAGGAGACTGATGCAGCATTGTTTTTGTAAATTTTTGAGATGTTCGTGAATGAATGATTTAAGTTTAAACTAAACTTGGACCTCACAGTGTTAGGTAATTTTAGACCCATCTCCAACCCGTGTTTTATTGCAAAGATTTTGGAGAAAATAGTCCTCCAACAATTGCAAAGTTTTCTAGCAGAAAATGCAGTTTTTTTAATATTTCAATCTGGTTTTAGAAAACATCCTTCTACCGAGACTGCTTTGTTGAAGGTTTTTAATGATGTACCAATAACGTGATTCTGGTGAATATGCTGTTCTTGTGCTTTTAGATTTAACTGCTGCTTTTGATACAGTAGATCATGCTGTTCTTATTGCCAATTTGAAACATTGTGTAGGCATTACAGAGACTGCACTTAAGTGGTTTAAATCTTATTTTTCCAACAGAAGCTTCTCAGTTAAGATTGGAGAGTATACCTCTAGTAATGCTGTATTACCGTGTGGGGTTCCTCAGGGCTCCATTTTGGCCCCAATTATTTTTTCTCTTTACATGCTGCCACTTGGTTCTATTATTAGAAAACATGGGCAGTCATTCCATTGTTACACTGATGACACACAAATTTATCTGCCCCTCAAGCGAAATACAGATGGTTTGGATAACCTCTTGGCCTGTTTGACTGATGTAAAGGCATGGCTTTCTTTAAACTTTCAGAATTTCAATGAGAGTAAAACAGAAATTATTATATTTGGACCCTAAATACCTACTAAATGGTATGGCTCCAGCTTACCTTTCTGTCCTACTGCCTGAGCACCATTCAACCAGTATCACTCAGGTTATCTTTAACTCTTATTCCATAGCTCTTATGTTGTTTCCAACTGCAACCACTAAATCCGACGAACCACTTTAAGTTGTATACCCTTATCGAAGAATCAAGAAAAAACACCAACCTATGTGTTCGTCACCATCATCTTGTTTTATTCTGCAGGGTTCTGGGCCATCCATGTTCTCGCCGGTCTTTTATGAAGTCTATCTTTGTCACGGAACCGCCAAAATGAAAAGTAAATCAGTTATCAAATTGATGCTTTTCAATACTTTCTTATATTGTTAGAAAAGATTCATATTTTGAATAAATGCTGTTCTTTAATTTTTATTCATCAAAGAATCCTGAAAAAAATATCGCAGTTTATAAAAAAAAAATATTGTGCAGCACAACTGTTGATAATTCTAATAATAAATCAGCATATTATACTGATTTCTGAAGATCATGTGACACTTTATACTGGAGTAATGATGCTGAAAATACAGCTGCGTATCACAGAAATAAATTACATTTTAAAGGATATTAAAATAGAAACCATTATTTTATATTGTAATAACATTTTACAATATTACTGTTTTTTCTGTATTTTTGATCAAATAAATGCAGCCTTGATGAGCCAATCTGTTTTTAGCGTTATTATCCCTTTCTGACATGAAGTCATTACTTTTATATTCCCTCTTGTTAAGTCTTATCAGGCAGATGTGAGACTATTAACCAGTTAAATATCTTTAAAGTACAGTATCATGTTCATATGAACCTACATTTAGTTCAATTTACAGCTCTCGGTGCAATAAAATAATTAGTTTAGTAGGGACAGACACTGATAATAAACCTTTCAAATGAAAAGCACAAACGCGCGTCTCTTCAGTAAAGCCGGTTCTGTTGTTGAACACTTTAACGCTTTTATGGCACACTTTAACATCAGTAACTCGTTAGCATGTTTACACAGCTAGCGTTAGCTCGCGTCTCGCACGCGGCCCACACAACACAGCGCGAGTTTGAAACACATCTCTAGCACACACAAACCATCAGGAATATGTGATATATACCTCACCGAGACCAGAACTCAATATCTATATCGCTGCTTGTCCTCGAGGTCTTCAGGCTTCCCCGTCCGCTCTAAAGTGCAGTCTTTAGCCTGTTCTCCGTGCTTTATTATGATCTCACACAGTTTCTGCAGGTCGCTCTGCACAGCTGCTGTGTGCTTTCTCTCTTCTTCCTCTTCTAATGTTTATTGGCGGTTGGCAGACTAGTTTATTAGTGCTTTACCGCCACCATCTGAACTGGAGTGTGGAGCATCGACGCATGTGTATCATACTAAATAATAATAATAATAGTCATAAATAAATAAATAAATAAAGATACAGGACATTATATAAGAATATAATGATGTTTAAGATATTTTAACAAAGATAAACTTATTCCTTTTTAGCTTACTTAATACATCTTCTAGCATCACGCTTCCACTTTCTTCTATATTACGTTAGCTTCTAGCGTTTGTCGTTCGTTGTTATATGCTCTACAATGCAACAGTACATGCTCTACAGTTTCAACAATCCCACAATGCATGCATAATCCATTCGGATGTTTCCTGATTCTATTTAGATTTCCATTCAATGCAGTATGTCCTGTTTGAATTCTTCTTGTCTTCTCAATCCCATGTCATTGTTACGTATTCCTACTTCTCTTTGAATTCTATCTCGATGTCGTCCAGTCTTCTCTTTCTCCCAAAGTTCCTGCCGTGCATTTATAAGAGCTTTCCTAATTATTATTTTTGCTTCTGCCTTAACTCATTTTTATATCAATTCCTATCTGATTCAAGTTCAAAGAATTTAGCATGCTTATCTGCATTTTCCCATTTCCTTCAACTCCAACATGTGCTGGAACCCAAATAAATGAAACAAAAATTCCCCGATTTTTCATTCTATATACAGTATATATACTGCAGTATTTCCAGTATGACATCTTGTCTGCAGTTCTTCTTCTTTTTTTGGTTTTATGGCGGGTTGCGAACCAACTTCATAGGTGCATACCGCCACCTACTGTGATGGAGTGTGAAGAGAATGTACTCACCTAAATCTTAAATTCTGTTCATTATTCCACAATTCTTAAGAAATCTCATGACTGCACTTATTTGTTTTCCTGCATTTGGACCATCATTCAGGATACTACTTAATGAAAATTCTTTAACTCCTAAGGATTGTAATTCATCTTTAAGTCGATCTCTTTCTCTTTCATATGCTGTACATACCATCATAACGTGTTCCACTGATTCCTCTGTTAAACAAACATTACATAGACCAGTATTATGTTTCCCTATAATGTATAGTGTTTGGTTAAGATTTGAGTGTCCTGTTCGTATATGTGTTAAAATGACTTGTTCCCTTCTACTTATGTTATGAATGATTTTTCTTCTCTTTATACTCCTTTGTACTTTGTGATAATGCCTACCTGTTTGACATGAGTCCCAGTATATCTGCCATACAATATTGCATGCATTTAATATTAACTGTTTCCCTTCTATTCTGCTGAGTGCAATATTTATACTTGGATCATCCATATTTAAGGATTCTTTAGCCATTTTATCTACCTCTTCATTACCTTGAATTCCCACATGTGCAGGTACCCATATAAACCGAGTAATTATCCCTATCTGTTTAATACTATATAGTGTAATCATGATTTCTATTAAAATGTCTTTTCTATTTGATTGCCATGATTGTTTGGTTTTATGGCGGGTTGCGAACCAACTTCATAGGTGCATACCGCCACCTACTGTGATGGAGTGTGAAGAGAATGTACTCACCTAAATCTTAAATTCTGTTCATTATTCCACAATTCTTAAGAAATCTCATGACTGCACTTATTTGTTTTCCTGCATTTGGACCATCATTCAGGATACTACTTAATGAAAATTCTTTAACTCCTAAGGATTGTAATTCATCTTTAAGTCGATCCCTTTCTCTTTCATATGCTGTACATACCATCATAACGTGTTCCACTGATTCCTCTGTTAAACAAACATTACATAGACCAGTATTATGTTTCCCTATCATGTATAGTGTTTGGTTAAGATTTGAGTGTCCTGTTCGTATATGTGTTAAAATGACTTGTTCCCTTCTACTTATGTTATGAATGATTCTTCTTCTCTTTATACTCCTTTGTACTTTGGGATAATGCCTACCTGTTTGACATGAGTGTAAACATAACCTTGTACTCATCCTCCGTCCGCATTGTTTTACTCCTTCCTCCTTCTCCCCCGATTTCTTCCGAATCTGAGCCTCTGTCTTTCCGTTTCTGAGATGTCAGCTCTACCTGATTCCACTCTCCACAATTCAAATCTGCAAAATCATCTTCTTCTTCTATGCTACTTCCGTCATTCTCTTCATTCACACCACAGTCATCGCCAACCCCGCCACGGCGTCTTTCCTTCGCCATGACGCCCCACTCCGTTCCTCGTGATCCTGCCGCCATCTTCACTATTCTCCGCGCCCTCTCCCCCTGCGTCGAATCTTGTCTGCAGTTAGACTGGCCTGATTGAATGCTCTTTAACGCAGCCAATGAATCTGAACATATTACTGCTTTTTTTTTATTCTATTTTCCTCTACCCACTGGAGAGCCATAACAATAGCTACCAACTCTGCTGTAAACACAGAACATGTGTGTGTGCGTGTGGGTACATAGTTGTGCACACATCTGTGCACATCTGATTGATTTTGCATCTAATACGGTCAAAAACACACAAGGTTTACATTTAAACACAGTTGGTTATGTCTAAAATTAAAGTAAACAGTTGAGAGAGAAACGGATGTGTGCAGCTCTTAAAGCGACAGTAGCTACTAAACATGCTGCCGCTTGTCATTAAAGGAATAGTTCACCCAAAATTACATTTGCTCACTCACATTGTCCCAAACCTGTATTAATGTCTTTCTTCTGCATTAACACAAAATATGATATCTTGAAGAATGTGGGTTACCAAACAATCTTATTTTTTTTTTATAGACCCTTTTCACATTTCCGTGTTTCTCAGCAGCGCAGTCATCATAGATGGGTAACTCTATAGTAGTGAATGGGAGACTACCACAAATATATATATATTCAGCCCTGTTAAGTCGAACGCTCCTAATGCGTGCTTATTTTCATTTATTTAAACATGTAGTGGCCTTTAATTTGTGACTTCAATCATTTCAAATAAAACTGATTTTTTTTTTTGCTGCAGAAGTTTAATAGAATTGGTTAAATTTAAAGAAAGCAAGCATTAAATATGTAAAATGATTGTATAAAGGCAGCAAATACACAGCACTAACACGGCGGTAGAAGTATTATTCTGGTGCATTTAAATCTTCTTCTGGTGATTGGTTAATGAGCTAAGCTAGTCACATGACTGTAGATTCTACTGATAAGCACTTTTTGGGCGAGTCTAAATTCTTGAATCACATGATGTATTCAAATGGATACACGAGCTGCGTCCCAGTTCTCCTACTTATACTATGTACTAAAAGTATGTACTTTTTTTGTTATGGAAAGTACATACTTTTAAGTGTGTAGCAAGAGAGTATTCTGGGATATACTACAAAGGCGTCATTTAACGGAAGAGAATGTTGTTGCCTAGTTACGCGCAATCAATGTAAACAAAGCATTTAAGATTTAATTCATTCCTATTCATCCAATAAAGTGGCGGGGCATAGAGGAGAAACAATGTTGTACAGTATGTGGAAAATAATGTGTTTTTTTAACTTTAAACCGCATAAACACATTTCATTACACCAAATACACAAAATAATGTTCTTTTTAGCAACATCATATGACCCCTTTAAAGCCCTTGAGGTGAGCCCAGAATTCACCCCCATCGTTATTACATGCGGTGTAATTCTACACAACATGTGCCCGGTGACATAATTGATGCGGATATGGATGACGACGATGACGGAGATGTCATGAGCAACACGCCGAAGCCAGAGTAGTGTCTGGTGACGTCGTCAGGAGCCGTTTTTTTTTATTCTATTTTCCTCTACCCACTGGAGAGCCATAACAATAGCTACCAACTCTGCTGTAAACACAGAACATGTGTGTGTGCGTGTGGGTACATAGTTGTGCACACATCTGTGCACATCTGATTGATTTTGCATCTAATACGGTCAAAAACACACAAGGTTTACATTTAAACACAGTTGGTTATGTCTAAAATTAAAGTAAACAGTTGAGAGAGAAACGGATGTGTGCAGCTCTTAAAGCGACAGTAGCTACTAAACATGCTGCCGCTTGTCATTAAAGGAATAGTTCACCCAAAATTACATTTGCTCACTCACATTGTCCCAAACCTGTATTAATGTCTTTCTTCTGCATTAACACAAAATATGATATCTTGAAGAATGTGGGTTACCAAACAATCTTATTTTTTTTTTATAGACCCTTTTCACATTTCCGTGTTTCTCAGCAGCGCAGTCATCATAGATGGGTAACTCTATAGTAGTGAATGGGAGACTACCACAAATATATATATATTCAGCCCTGTTAAGTCGAACGCTCCTAATGCGTGCTTATTTTCATTTATTTAAACATGTAGTGGCCTTTAATTTGTGACTTCAATCATTTCAAATAAAACTGATTTTTTTTTTTGCTGCAGAAGTTTAATAGAATTGGTTAAATTTAAAGAAAGCAAGCATTAAATATGTAAAATGATTGTATAAAGGCAGCAAATACACAGCACTAACACGGCGGTAGAAGTATTATTCTGGTGCATTTAAATCTTCTTCTGGTGATTGGTTAATGAGCTAAGCTAGTCACATGACTGTAGATTCTACTGATAAGCACTTTTTGGGCGAGTCTAAATTCTTGAATCACATGATGTATTCAAATGGATACACGAGCTGCGTCCCAGTTCTCCTACTTATACTATGTACTAAAAGTATGTACTTTTTTTGTTATGGAAAGTACATACTTTTAAGTGTGTAGCAAGAGAGTATTCTGGGATATACTACAAAGGCGTCATTTAACGGAAGAGAATGTTGTTGCCTAGTTACGCGCAATCAATGTAAACAAAGCATTTAAGATTTAATTCATTCCTATTCATCCAATAAAGTGGCGGGGCATAGAGGAGAAACAATGTTGTACAGTATGTGGAAAATAATGTGTTTTTTTAACTTTAAACCGCATAAACACATTTCATTACACCAAATACACAAAATAATGTTCTTTTTAGCAACATCATATGACCCCTTTAAAGCCCTTGAGGTGAGCCCAGAATTCACCCCCATCGTTATTACATGCGGTGTAATTCTAC